GAGAATGTGTGGAAGGAAGCGTCCTCGTTGACAGCTCCTGGGGTCAGGTAAACCGCTATAACCACTTTGGAAATCAGTATGGAGGTTTCTCAGAAAATATTAAAAAGAACATCACATCTGGGCACACACAGAGGACTCTGTATCTACCGCAGAGGTGTTGCACATGCATGCTTGTTTCTGCTCTATTCACAGTAGCAAGAAAATAGAATCAAGCCTAGATGTCTGTCGACAGATAGTAAAAGTGTAGTATATACACACAATAGAATTTTTCAGTTATAAAAATAGAAATTATGAGGCCGGGCATGGTGGCGCACGCCTTTAATCTCAGCACTTGGGAGGCAGAGACAGGTGGATCTCTGAGTTCAAGGCCAGCCTGGTCTCCGTAGCGAATCCAGGCCAGCTGGGGCTACAGGGACACCCTGTCTCAAAAAGACCAAAAAAAAAAAAATAGAAATTATGAAATTTGTAGGGAAATAGATCTGGAAATTAATATATATTACAAAAGTAACTCAGACTCAGAAAGACAACCACGTTTTCTCTCATATGCTTTATAGAAATACAAATATTACAGTTTGTGTACATATGTACATGTATATACATGTATAGATATGTTAGTATAGCTGCAAGTGTGGGTATAAGCCGTAAGATGGGAGATGAGACCACAAGTGGGGGGGTGGTTTTGAGGAAGGGCCGTGGGAAAGTAGAACACACATGGTATCGAAGCAGAAAGGGGACCAGTGATGGGAGTTGGAAGCCACAAAGCAATGTTTGAAAATGCCGTGGTGAAACCTATTCCTTTGTATGTTAACATGAAAAGCAGTCAAAACTAAAGAAAACTTTAAAAAGAACATTTAAAACAGCATTTCCAAAACTCACTTGATAGAGACCATTTTGTTGCATTTTACAAGCAGAATGCGCTGTTCAAGCTTGCTTATGCTTTGTAGGAGACAGTGTAATCAACAGTACGCGATGCCCAGACCTTTGTGATGTGGAAAGTGATTGTGCTTGCTTTCTATGGCTGCTCAACCCCAAAACCAGAGAAATGTGTTCTCATAAAGCTGGAGGCATCCAGCCCGAGGCCAAGCTGTCGGCAGGCCGGCCCCCTCCTGCCGGCTCCAGGGGACACTGGCTGGCCTCTGCCTTTTCTCTAGTGGCAGCTGCCAGTCTTTGTTGGCTGACAGCTGAGTCTTTGCCTCCTTCTTCTGGTTTGTGTCACTTCTTACAGAGACACCAGTGATTGTATTAGGATCCACCCTGATCCAACATGAACCCATCTGTACATCTCTCACATCTGCAGAGACCCTGTTTCTAAATACGGTCACAGTCACAAAAATGGGGAGATTTGGACTTGAACCCATCCCTCCAGAGAACAGGATTCAGCCGTCAGGTCTGCAGGCAGGCCTCGCTAATCTCCCTGAAAGCTCTGCTTCACCCCTGTCTGACCCCTGACCTGCCTGTTGTCCATGTCAGCAGTATTGCTGTCCACTTGAAGAGTATTAATTTGTCTCCAAAAGTGAATTCTGTAAGAGCAAAGATCAAAAAAACAGACAGATATCTAGCACTGTCCACTGCTCCCTAGTACCTACCCAGGGCCTGGCCCCTAGGTGCTATGAAAACACAAGACAGGCAGGTGGAAGGAAAAGCCACAGAACTGACCCTCCACCCTGTGGACACTCCCCAGTGTCTCCAGCCACTTCCATGTCTTTGTGTCAGGTGTTTGAGGATGCAGATGGTGGGGTTTCATTTTATTGGTGTTGAGGTAAGTTGGGAACTCAGCCCTGTGACTTGCTGTGGTCTTAGGTCTTGCCCAGGTCTTACTATGGAGCTAGCCTGGAACTCGCTGGGTAGACCAGGCTAGATTCAAGCTTGTGACAGTCTTCCTGTCTCTGTCTCCAAAGTGTTAGGATTTTGGGCATGCACCATGCCTGGCCTAAGGAATGTTCTTAATGAATAGCCCCAATAGCCCAGTTCAGAGCCATGTTGTGCTGTGACAGCCTTGACTCTTGGTCTTCAGACCAGCAGGAGTTCGGTGCTCTTCATTGGGACATAGTTAAGGACAGGAGGTGTTTTCTAATTTTCTTTTGCCATGTTGTCAAGTTCTTAAGATAAATCTAATACAGTCGTGTTTGCGTCTGCCCTCACCCCCACCCACCTACTAAACCAAGGTTTTCAGTAAGCAGTGTGTTCGTAAATGGCTTTCAGCAGCTGGTACCCAAACTGGAGAGATGGTGAGGACAAAAAGCCAGGGTGCGCGTCTCAGAGGCGCAGAATCTCCACACTTCTCAGATGTCTGTGAGGTCAGTAGAAGTTGAAATAACAGAAAATTCAGGGAGAAGAAAGCAGTTAGGGCCACATCCTTATGAAGAACCACCCTAGCCCAGAAGGGCACGATGCCTGTCAGCACCTGTAAGGGTACCGGCCTCTGATTCCCCCTGGACTGAGCCACACCCACAGAACTAAGTCCCATTCCTCAGTGGGCAAAAGAAGTTGAGCATTTTTCAGAGTTGTTTACCTCAATAAGGTCATGTCTAATTAAAAAAAACCAAAAACGGTTGAAGTTCAGGAGTTAGCCAAGAATATCAACCCGACGTCCCCCCGAGAGGAGGCCAGCGTCCTCAGAAGAGAAGAGCAGTGCGCAGTTCCCTATCAGACAGCATCTTCGGTGCCATGGTGGGAAGAGGGGAGGGGTGGGGGCTACAGCAATAGGAGCTCAGCCCTGAGGCTAATGTCCGATTCGTGTCCTCCTCCTTGGAGTGGAGCAGGCTCACTGGTTCTTCCCAAGTGTCAAGCTCCTGATTATCTAATGGATTCTCACCTTCAGGGAGTTCTCAGGAGGCAGAGTAAGTCCTGGCAGCTTCCTGAAGCCAAACCCAGAATCTGTGCCATCTGTAATCAGTCACACCAGCCAGAGAACACACTGTGTTAGCCACACCAGGCAGAGAGCACACTGTCTGTAGTCAGTCACACCAGGCAGAGAAGTTGGGGTGCTTAGTTAGAAACTGACACATGGTCTTGTGCAGAGCCTGTTGACATTACAGAGTGCTCGTTCTGAATGCTTCATGTAGGTTCCACAGCTGCAGTGCAAGCCAGGTGCTAGTTATGCCGTGAGCTCTGCTTCCTCTTCAGTCAGAAGATCTCTTACCTACCACCCCCATGTTCGGTGATGGGCTGGCACCAGTTTCGTTTTGCACAGAGTTCCTGTTGGAGCTGTAGAAAGGTTTCTGGGAAGTTTTTTCTCTGTTGTGGTTGTCCTGATTCTTTCGAGGCAGAGTCACCTAGACTGGGGGGGGGCTTCAACTCATTATATAACCAAGGTGGCCTTCCGCTCCTGATGCTCCTGCCTCCTGGTCACAGGTGCTGGGGTGACAGGCATGCACTGCCATGGAAGGTCTAAAGTTTTTAAGCATGGTGAAGCATCAGAATTCAACACCATAAGAAGGAAGGCTTTGGGCCTGGGTTCATAGCTCAAAATAATATACTTCTGAGTTTTGCTTGTTTTGTGCTTTCTGAAAAAATAGCTTGAATCTGTAGTCTGGTCTCTTTCAAATGTTGATTTTGTTGCAAGTGTCTAGTGGTCAACACTCTTCTAAGATGCTTTATCCTGTCAGTGTGTGACGTGTTCTTTACTATAGAGCTGTAGTAACTAAGATGGATGATAGTGTGAAGACAAGTGAGGTATTCACAGGGGCACGATAGAGAGCTTTAGGACAGATGCTTGGTGTGTAGAGACCTCAGCACAGGTCATCTTGCAGGTGGCACATGTTGGCCAACGCAGTTTCTGCGAGCTGTCCTCGGCATGCTTTCAGAAGTGTGAGGAGGGACGTTCTTCCTGGGATCTGCCGCAGTGTCGGACTAGAAACAGCACAAACACCCATCGGTATAGGAATATAAGATCGCTACTAGATGTCTTAGGCTGTAAACATGCAGGAAAGGGTGCAGCTGCTTTCAGGGACACGGTGAAAATACGAGCCCCGCAGGTGGGGCTGACAGCTTGCCACGGTCACTCTGGAAAGCAGTTTGCTTACCCCTGGTGAGGGCTTGAGGACAAGAAGAACATGGATTCATTATAAACATGACAGGCTTCTGTTATGAAAGCTCCCCTTGCTGTGCAAACCCTGGGGATGTGTTGTTCCTGTTCACTTATTTTTGCGCTGCTGGCAAATTTTTTTTTTAGGAACTTTCTTCTTGTACTCGGTAAACTTTATCATTCATAAAGGTCTTTATTATACGTAATCCATGTCTTCAGTAAACAGCTTGTTTTATTCACTGTATTAATTTGTTTTAAAATCTCTAACAGGAGGAATAGGCCATTACAGGTTTCAACTTTATCAAATATTTTTTAAAGGTTTATTTTACTTTTATTTATGTGTTTGTGCCTATGTGTGTGTGCCCATGGAGGCCAGAAGAGGACGTTGGATCCCCTGAAGTTGGAGGCGCAGTCAGTTGTGAGCCACCTAATTGTGGGCCCTGGGAACCAAACTCGGGTCCTCTGCGAATGCAGTACATGCCCTTAACTGCTGAGCATCTCTCTAGCACCTTGAATATTTTTAAAGAATACTTTTCCCAGACACTTGGCCTAACTGAAGGAGCAGGTCTCACTAGCCATTCTCCCTGCCAGCCCCAGGCACGGTGTGATTGTGTTGCTTTTCTGTGCTTCGTGTGTCCGTTACGTGTGTCTGTGGTTGTTAAAAATAGACCAGACGTCCTCAGAGGTCATTTAAGAACCCGCATGCTTATGTTCATATTTTCTAAGTTCGTTCTGAGCTTCTGTGTGATACATATCTGGCAACTGCACACCAAAGTCAACCCTAAGAGTCTATTGTTCATCATCTGATCCTGGATGATAGGCCAGGAACCCTGATCTCACAGGTCAGATGGTTGGAATCCTGTTTGACTTCCAGGTCCTCTTTCCTCGTGTGTCTCCCTGACATCATCTTGGTTCTCCATCAACTAAAGTATCTTTTTTTTCTTCTCTCTCTCTCTCTGTAAACAATCAACAGCTTGATCAAGTCACCCGTCAACGCAGCTTGTCCAGCCTGGAGCTGTTCCTCTCCTGCGCCCAGAAGCAGCTGAGTGCTTTAATAGCTACGGAGCCGGTTGACATTGAATAAAGGGAACATAACGTATTTGCCTGCCCTGGTCATTGAGCCTGTCCAGTCTGGAGCTGTTCCTCTCCTGCACCCAGAAGCAACTGAGTGTTCTAACAACTAAGGAGCTGTTGGCATTGAATAAAGAGAACATGGCGGGCTACCCTGCCCCATCACTGCGTTAGTTACTAGACTTCTGACTTAGATGCTGTGAATCATAAAGATGCTTTTGAGTTTTGTTCTGTTTTGTGGAAAAGGTGGAGAGTTGGTTTCCAGGTCAAGGATGAGCCAAAACAATATCTAGAACTAGCAAAGAATCTGTTTACTTCTATTACTTTATTTCATTGTGAGTTGCAACAGCAGAGTCTAACATGACCTTTGCAAACCAAGGAAAAGTGCCATAGTATCAAGTCTGTCGGGTAAACATTATGTCTTCAGGTGGCCTGATAACACTGTATTTGGTAAAAGGAGTCTCCTTTGGCCTCAAGGTGATCCCTGATAAGACACTCCTCTGTGACCCTGAATTTGGTTCTGAGTTAGAAGGAGCGTGGGTCCCATGCTGGCTACGTAAAGCAGATATAAAACACAAAGTGCTGATGGGATGATTGTTCTGATTAACCTAAGCTCTTCTCTGCAGTTGAATCCATGTGTTCTCATTGATCTACTGAAAACAGTGCGACACTAAAAATGCTCAGCTTCGGCTGACACCCCACGTGAACTGGGGTGTGAGCAGGCTTATTTCCTACTGTCTGCCCTCAAAAGCACTGTAATAATTTCTCTTTTGCATTACCATAATCATCATAATCTCTGGAAAGGGAACATAGCTCAACATCTGTGGGAGTTCGGGTTCAAATATGGATGTAAAGAATCATCAGGATGCCTTGATTCATGAGCTCTTGCTCCAGTCCCAAATCATGAGTACTTTGGACATCACAAAAAGGGCAGTGTGTGCAGACTGTGTGTCCTACTTTGTGAACTCTTCCCACTTTCAGGGCCCTTGTACTTTTCACAGGTTTCTCGGTATAATAAAAGGAACTCTAAAAATGTTTTCTATTATTTTTTCACTCGTCAGCATATCTTAACACCTGTGATGGTCTGCTTAGGAGAAAAGCTGCCCCCACCCCCACGAGAAAGTACTAGTTGGTAACCCTGTGAAGGAGGGTATCTGTCTAATCTGTGTCTATTAAAGGAACAGATCAGGTTTCTTCTTGCCTTGAGAGGGTGCAGCTGGATTTCAACCCAAGCCCTTCCAGGCCCCCGTGGGGCTCAGTGCTCCCTCCGTGAGCAACATCTGAATGTTCGTACCCAGGATGTCCTCATGTGCTGTGTTAGCGTTTTAAGAAGAGAGTAGACATCCATGTCTGCTGCCTTACACCTGGGGACCATTGGACAGGCAACCTAGCCAGTTGAGGACTCAGTTTCCATGGTTGTGATGGAGGAATAGTGATCTCTAGAGACTTTGTGAAAAGCGTCTAACACTCCATGTGATTGGCCTTGCTCCTGTGGCTATAGGCTCATGGTAATAAAACTCCGCTTTTGCCCACAAACCACGTTACCCTAAACTGCTGACCTAGATTGATGGATCCACACTGGCCTCACCCTTACTGACCTCTTGTGAGTCACCTTGTCTAGGGAGACAGCCATGAACCACCCTAGGGAGGTGACTATGAACTCCAACTTCTGAGTGAGCTCTTCTGTACTGTGGGACTCTAGCAGATACCCAGACAGACTCTCAATGTGCATGAACCATTTCTTTCCTTTAAACTAGTCAAAGCTAGTTTGCATGACAAAGCAAAGAAAAAAATGAGTGAAGGCCGTCTGGAGCTGGCGTTCCTGTTTCCTGTTTGCGTTTCTCTTGCTGTGATAAACACCATGCCCAAAAGCACCTTGGGGAGGAAAAGGTTTATTTCAGTTTACACTTCATCAGGAGGGAAGCCAGGGTGAGAGCCCTCAAGGCAGGAGCAGAGCAGACCAGGGAGGAGCATTGCTTTCTGACTTACTCCCTGCACACAGTCACCTGCCTCTCCTACCCAGCCCAAACCCACTGGCCCGGTGATCATCATACCACCCCCAGTGGTCTGGGCCCTCCTACATCAGTTGGCCCTCAAGAAGATGCCCCACAGGCCAGTCTGATGAAGGGATTCTTCCCAGGCGTAGCAAGTTGACAAGATTGGCCGTCACACCAACACCCAGCACCTGCTTGTTCGTTTCCTTCACGGTATCAATCCACATTCACATTGGGAACAATTTATTTTAAGGAATGTTAAATATATAACCAAGCCAACCTCTCTTAGCTAATAAAGCCATAGATAGGCTTTGCATAATAAATTCTGAGTGAAAGAAATAGGTGTGTAAGCCTGGAAGACATTTATAACCCAGTAAGGAAGAAGATCTGGATTAGCACTCAGCCGCTGTTGTTCATTCACATGCCAGGAAGCAGCTCTGCTGTGCCCTAGAGACAGCTGACACGCAGTATGCAGAGCTACAGGTGCTCATCTCAGCAACACTGGGTGTCACAGGGCGCTCACCTTGTGGATTAGTCACTTTTCTGTTGCTGTGATAGAAACACCATGGCCAAGGGAACTTATAAAAGGAAGAGTTTATTTAGCTTAGGTTCCAGAGGGGTAAGAGTCCATCATGGTGGGGAGGCATGGCATCAGAGGTGGCTGGAGTAGGAGCAGAAGCTAAGCTCTCACATCTTCAAGCAGGCACAGAAAGCAGAGCGTGAGATCTGTCAGGGCTTAAGAACTCTCTCAGCCCACCCCCAGTGACGTGCTTCCTCCAGCATGGCCACACCTAAGACCCCCCCCAAAACAGGACCACCAACTGGGAACAAAATGTTCGAATCCTTGGAGCCTGTGGGGGACATTTTCATTTGAACCATCATACCTTGGCACTGTGGGTGTTGCAGGCTGCTCACCCTAGCGACACTGCAGGTGCCTGTCACAGGCTGCTCACCATAGAAACACCTCCAGCAGCACAGGCAGTGAGAAGCAGTTTTTGAGGACTCACAGCTAGGACTGGCAGACAGTCCTAAGTTGTATTTAGTTTAAAAGTAAACGTAGTTTTCACACACTCAGCTTGCAGCAAAGGTCTACCTGTCATCCATCATTGATCTTCGAACATAGAAGGGAAGAATTAATAACTGGATCAATCAATAAAACACCTGCCTTCAGTGCAAATAATCAACTAACACTTAGCTAATAGACTCTACCAATTTATAGGATTTAGCTAAAATTGCTGTATTCCTAAATGAAGTCCTTTAAGAAAATCACCCATGGGGCTGGAGAGATGGTTCAGTGGTTAAGAACACTGATCTTGTAGAGGACCCAGGTTCGATTACCAACACCTACCTTGTGGCTAACAGCTGTCCATAACATCAGTTCCAGGGCATCCAGCACCCTCTTTTGACCTCCAGCAGCACTGCACAACACAGGTACACTTACACATATGCAGCCAATGCACTCAAGCACATAAAATAAAAAATAAAATATTTAAAATAAATCAGCCATATAGAACAATCTGGTAAATTGAGCTACATCCACTTTTCTAAAGTGCACTTTTCATTTCTCAATGTTTTTAAAATGACTGAATTTCATTGATATTAATGTGCCATTAAACTCTTAAGATCCTCTAGGAGTGCGAACAGGCAGAGTTGTTACAGTCTGTTTTCTGTTGTGATTAAAGACTGACTAAAGCCACCGTGGGTTTATTTCACCTTTCAGCTTACGGCCCATCACTGAAGGTAGGCAGTGAAGCAGAGACCATGGAGGAACACTGCTTACTGGCTTCCTATTTACCTGGCTTGCCCAACTAACGATCATATACAGCCCAGGTCCACCAGCCCAGGAATGGCGCTGCCCACTGTGAGCTGGGCCTACATAATCAGCAATCAAGAAAGTGCCCCACAGACTTGCCCTCAGGACAGTTTGGTGGAGACAACTCTTCAGTTGATGTTCCCTCTTCACAGCTGAGTTCCATGTGAAATAACCTGAGTACTGGGTGCAGTGGTGCTTGGTGCAGGAACAGCCTCCCTCTGGGGCAATGGATTGACATTAGGCTCAGTGGTCCATCTGAAGAGGAAGAAAGGTTCGGGAGAAGTGGTGGAGGGTTTGCCATCCTGAGAAGCGTGTTCTATGGTCCAGGAGGAGCAGTTGTGCGTAACAAGGAAATGTGATGTCAGGATCAGAGCAGTCGGTGTCCACGCATGGGGGTGGGAGGACGGGGTGTCAAGAAAGCCAGGGTTCTTTTTTAAATCTCTAATACCACAATGTGATACAAACTGACTTTGTTGTTTTGGGAAATACATGGAAACCAGAAAACAAACTCATTCAAAAGGTAGGAAAATTTGACTCCGTACTGGCAAAGGTTCAGTTCTTGGAAGTCTGGGAGCTGACTTAGAAAAACAATAAAGTCACAGAACGGACAAATCGCTGATTCAACATGATCCACACGCTGAAGCCGATGAATAGAAAATTCCTTGTGGTGAGATATGAATGTAATGCATGTTGAATCTTTGCCCGTTTCATTGAGGTACACTTCTAAAAATGTTACTAACCTCTGATCATGGGGATGGCACTAAAATCTATAAAACATTTTCCCTGTAATCTTTTTTGGTTTGATCTTGTTTCCCATAAATGCCAGAACTATGTCTGAACTCTGTAAAAATGGGGAATACTTAGTGATTAATGAATAAACTTACGGCTTTAACTGTGTTCATTCTTGTTTTGTCACTCACCATTCCCAGGGTACAGCCTGTCGTGGCAAGGAAGTCAGGGCAGCTGGGTGAGGCAGCTGGTCGTACGGCATCCACAGGCAAGAAGAGGAGGGAGATGCAGGAGAGGCATGGACAGGACTGCTTGTTTTCTCTTTTTTTTTTTTTTTTTTTTTTTTTTTTTTTTGGTCTTTTTGAGACAGGGTCTCCCTGTAGCCCCAGCTGTTCTGGAACTCACTCTGTAGACCAGGCTGGCCTCGAACTCACAGAGATCCACCTACCTCTGCCTCCCGAGTGCTGGGATTAAAGGCGTGCTCGACCACGCCTGGCTTGTTTTCTCCTTTTTATTCAGTCTGGAACCTCAGCCTATGCAATGGAGCTTCCCACTGTTGTGAGTCATTCCAGACCAGCTCACCTTGTCTCAATGTTCCCTGCCAGCTGTGCACAGGGCTTTGTCCTCCTAGGTGGTTCTACATCCTGTCATGTTGACAATATTAATCACAGTGAGTTCAGTCTTTAAAACTCACTCTGTATTTGAATTTTTAGACAAATGTGGTTTATGTTCACAGTCGTTTAGAAAGCCAAAATTATTAACATTTGCTTTTCTTATACTTTGCTCAATTTTTTCATAAAGCAAAAGAAAGATTTACATAATATATTAAATTAAAATTGGCAGGTGCATGGTCGGTTAGATGGCTCAACGGTTAAGAGCACTGACTGGTCTTGCAGAGGGCCTGGGTTTGATTCCCAGCACCTACATGGTGGCTAACAACCATCCATAACTCCAGTTCCAGGGCCTCTGATGCCCTCCTCTGACCTCCACAGGCACTGTACAACACGGGTTGTACATACATGCACTTGTGTACTTACATACATGCACACAATATACACATAGATATAAAAAATAAGATTATTTTTATAAATACTGATGTAGGTGTAGGGGCTGAGTACTCAGCAGACCACCTTAGAGTGACTGATCTGGCCTCCACATGGTGGTGAGCATCCCCAAATCTTGCCTTACCCAATCCCCTAACTGGGATTACGTGAGGTCCCTCCACAGCCCCAGGGAAGACCTCTGCCCTATGGTAGGGTAAGGCTGAGATCTCAGCAGACCACCTGACAGTGCCTGATCTGGCCTCCACCTGGTGTACAGGCTGGGCATGCTGAAATCGCCCCTCCCCTTAGGGAACTTCCCAAATTGTGCTCTGA